TTAAAAAGGAAGTGAGACATGGCATGGAGCTGTAAGTGCAGGCTAGACACATGCAGTATGACAGGACCAGAAAGGTTAAGTTCTGAAGTGCTGAGCATAGCTCAGCTGTAAAGACAGAAAAAGCCAGAAGTTAAATCATTTCCCTTCGTAATTACAAAGGAAGATAGAAAAAAACTATCCCTGATAACTCAAAGAAACAGCAATTACGGCATCTCCCTCAAGCTGACAGAGCATGTGCCCTCAGTGTGTGAGAGCAAAGGTTTCCCTAGTAATGAAGAATTAGGCTAAAGAAACAACTCTTGCTGTCAGCTGCATGCATAAGCCCAAGGCAGCAATCCTACAAAGTGATCAGCCATGAGGGCCCTCGGTGTTGTTACAACAATCTGCCTATTTCTCACTTGGAGCTCCCCCCCCCGCCCCCAGTCATTGTTGTAACTCTCTCAACTCTACCTAATTTCCCTGTTGAGGGAAAAGACAGCATTACAAATGTTTCTATAAAAAGTTTGAGAAGTAGCTTCCAATGGACTCAAGTTTTTATTCACTTGCCAGTGGATACTTCCTTCCTAGTTTTAGATTACAGGAGGGAAAGGAAGGAGAGATTGCTGTCTGTGTGCTGCCATATTCTGCTAGTCCAAAAACTGGACGTGGGAACCAAGTTGAAGGATAGTTCTCTTTGCTGAGGAAGCCAAGCCTCATCAGCATCCTCACTGAGGCAACACTGGCTTGGACCAAATTGTTGTTAATACTCTAAGTGCTCAATTACAGAGGCTACTTAAATAGACTTCAGTTGGCAGACTCAGCCAAAGTACAGCCAGCTTGATGCAGGCAGGATCTGATCAACTAGAGAAAGGAAACACTGTAGTACTGATGGAGCCATAACTTTTTTTAAAGTTTATTCCCCCTTCACTTGGAGGAGCATCCTACCACATAGCAACAAGGTGAGAGAGAAAGCAGCTGAGCAGCAGCTTGAAGCCAGCTGTGCCCCCAGCAGCAAGCAAGGCAGTCAGAGTAGTGGGAGTGAGCAAGGAGTGAGGGTTTTTTTTTTGTTATGATTTCAGAAGGGGGTGGCCAGCAGTACTCCTGCTAGTGCACAGCAAAAGCAGTAAGCACAAGGACTTGGCCACCTACAAGGCAGGTAGGCTTAGATTTGAAAGCAAAGGTGAAGCAGGATCTCTTCTGCCAGGTCTGACCCCACTGTTAGCAAGGAGAACCCTCTCAGTAATTGAGGAGCACTGAGACTTGGTGTAGAAAAGCTGCAGAGCCCACAGCAACTCTCCATTACCACCAAACACCAGGTCCCAGATACTTGCTTCAGCTTCATGACTGGGGATCTGACAACTTTGGCATGAAACCAGCCAAGAAAGATTCTCAGCAAGAGAAGAGGGTAGGATCATCTTACTACAGGAGTCTGAAACTTGCTCTAGCCAGCAACGGGAGGGGGGGGGGGGGGGAGGATAGGACACATCCTTGGGAAGAAACATACTCCAACTGGTTTTACAAGCCACATCAGGATTAACAGATGTCTCAGGGGTTAATTAGTTCACCATGCACAGATGGTAGCTGGTAGGGTTTGCAGAGTGGATTAACCTAATTTGTGGTTTGTAACGTACCATGCAAATATCCATTACTAGACTTGCAGCAATTCTGCTCTTATTTTGATTTGAGGAGAGAAAAACCACACAATGGATACTTGCAGAGAAGTAATGCCTGTTTTGAGTGACAAATGAGTTGCTGTTCACTTGGTTAATGCGATCAACTAATTGGAGCCTGAAAAGCAATTTCTTCCTTTTTGCTACAGAGGGTCTTTGGAGAGACCTAGACGAGGCCATTTGTTGTGAGTGTACAGAATATACTCATGGTAACCACTCCTTACAGTTGTACTGAGGTCTCTTCAGCACTGACAGATGGTCATACAGCAACAATTCAATTGCCTGGAAATATGAAGGCAGCTTTCTGAAGTAGCTCTGGAGCACATCAAGTAAAGCTCCACAAATCCAAGGTAACACCACATGTGGCAGTTCAGGCCACAGCAAATGCCCATGCCTATGCAGAGCCTCAGTTGTTTCAGCGAAGCTCCAGGTCTGAGCTGACTGCAGGTTAAAGCATTTATAATTAGATCATATCCAAGTAAAGGGCTGCGTGTTTATATAGCACTTTGCACAAGAGGAAGCCTGGCTCAGGGCTGGCATACAGAGATGCCCCAGATCGGTACAAGACTCCCTTCTGTTTAGCTAAGGACATGCCATGCTATTGCATTTGGTTCAGGAGGTCTCAAATGTTTACAACCAGTATCAGCTGCAGTGATAAATGTTTCCATAACTCCTATTAAACTCTGAACTTAGCCAATTTCTCCGTGCTCTAAGGGGTGAGCATAGGACTAGCTAGACATGCACTCTGGCAAGGCAGAGGTCAGGGTAGAGGTAACACTGGCTGTCAGAGGCATTCCCCAAATGTTTCTGCGATCAGCCATGCCTGTGTCGTGCCTGCACATGCCTGAGACACGGCAGCTGTGGGTTTCCTGCCAGACAGCGTGGGACAGCCACACTCACACTGAAAAGCCTCCTCCTAGCACATCTTTGGTCAAGACAGAAGATGCGTTCACAGGTCTGATTTGTTGTGAGGTGCTTGCATTTTTAAGTGCCTATTTGTCTCTGGTTTAAAGATGGAGCAGTGTCTGCACCTGAGGAGCAAACTATGTTTCAAAGCTATTTGTTATTTTAAAAGACTCTCACAGCACACCCTGGAAATCTGTGCTTATTTACCCCATCATTTTTTCAAGTATCATAAAGCTGGCCTTTGTTAGAGGCTGTAACTACCAACTCCCTTGGCATATTCCTTCACTTGTTGTGTGTGCACTCCCACAACATCCAGCTCTGAACAGAAGGAAGCATTCCTCTGCTGCTCTAAAATCAGGCAAGAAGATGGCAGAGAACAGAGTCCCTTTATGCAGCTCACTTTGGTCAGAGAGCTGCTTCGCATTCCTCTTTGTACAGGGCAAGCAGAAAAAGAGTATCCCTAAACCCCACTGTTTCCAAGCCCTAGCTGTATAAGCAGCCAAGCACCAAGAAGCAGAGAGGAGGAAACAGTCCCAAAAGACACATCAGCATGCAGAGGTGGGACAGCCCAGGGAGGGAGCCCAACCTGAGCATCCATCCCTCACAGGCATGGATGAGCACATCACTTGGGATGCTCAGGGCAGGAGGCCAACAGAGAGCCCAGCAGAGCAGCATCCACAAATGGCATCTCAGCTACACTGACTCAACTTAATCTCTCTTCCCCTAGTGTCATGGCAGATCAGCTCCAACTTCCCCCCAGAGCCACAGGAAAGGAAGAGCAGCATTTTCCTCATACTCCCAAAACAATTCCTCACACGTCTTACAGGAGTATTGCAACTCCTGTGCATGCCAACTGGTGCACTGAGCCCAAAGCTCTCCTGGTTTCCTAGTGCTGTTCTAGGTCAGTGCTAAATCAGGTTGCCCCAGAGACTTCAGCAACATTTTTCAAAGGTCTTTACATGGCCCAAAAGCCCCCAGTGCTCAGGATGGGGCACTGAGCCAGGAGCTCCCACATGCAGCTCTGCCTCCTACCAAGTCACTTGGACTTTCACGGTCAGCCCCTCTAAAGAAAGTGCTGCTGCCAATTTAATTCATGGACCATTGTGAACAAACATTTAATATTATGTTTAGAAGATCCTAGAAGTGCAATCCAGACAGAAGATTTGTAGGAGATTAGGAAGATGAAGCACGCCCTCATTTATTGTGTCAGGCCAGCACCTTGTACCACACTTGCCTCTTCGTTACCACAACTCACCTCACGGTAATTTAGGGAAAGGGTACCAAAAGTATCGGCTTGCAAAGGCAACAGCCATTTGATGTACAGGACATCAGGGTCAAGCAACAGCTTCGTTTTAGTGCATCACTTAGCTTATTACAGGACTGCAGCTTAAAAGCTCTCATAATTAACCAACAAATCAACCTAGGCAGTGACATTCATTGGAGTCCAGTATGTCACATTCATCTTCCCTTCCTTCCCAGGGACTAAGCCATTGCAGTATTTCTTCATCATCTTAAAAAACAAGAAAAAAAATATCCTCCCCTCCCCTGCACACAGGCCAGAGTTTTCCAGGAGTTGCTATTGGATTGAAAGGCCTCTCTTTGGATGCTCTGAATGCAATTTGGAACACCCAAGACTCCAAACAAAGTCAATGAGAGTTGCAGGTGCTCAATGCTGCTCGGAGAAAGAAATAGGAGGGGAAAAAAAAAAAAAGAACAAAAAACACACAAGAGAAAGCCCTGACACATCCAGCTCAGAGCAGCCAAACCCAGAGGCCCATAATTACATGTCCCTATTGAAAACACATCTGTAAAAATCACTAAGAGCTACAAGGACAGAGGAAAATTAGATTTATATAGTTTCAAATCAGGGTTTTATAGGACATTTGAATCCAGGATCTTAAAAAGAAAACACTGAGCTAGAGCCTTTGAGGCAGCCCAGACCCAGACACAGGCACTAAGAACATTTTGCATCAGAAGCCTCACCAGAGCCTTTTGGAAAGGCAAAAAGAAAAAAAAAATTCATGCCAGAAGAAAAAAAACATTCCCCTCCCTCCAGAAAAGAACCCCAACTCTCAGGCTACATTTTGACTGCTCAGGTAATGACTGACTTAAGGAGGAAAAAAAAAAAAAAAGAAAAAAAAAAGAAACTTAATACCATTATCCCCTCTGGGAAGACTGGAGAAGGAGCTGTATAAATACAGTCAGAGGAGAGCAGTCATTTTAACTGCAGCACTATATACAGTGGGTTTCTTCTCTCCAGTGGAAAGGAACTGATGCCTGTCTCTAGCAGGCTTTAGCAATAAAAAGTTAAACTGCTACACAATTTAATGCCACACAAGATAGAGGGAAGGTTTAAAAAAAAAAGAGGGGGGGGGGGGGGGGGATGGAGAAAGGGGGAAGGTCCTCTCTGTAATCATGCAGTACATAGAAATCCTGGTGTCTTACCTGATTTTCTCTTTGAAGATCCATAGTCCCTGAAAAACAGACAACAACAAATAGACATGGTTAGAGCTGGAAACGGTGGTGAGAGAACGGGTGCCTCCCAAATTTCCACCCATATGCTCAAGGGCTCATCCTGCGCACCCCCTCCTTTAAAGAGGAGGTCAGGACTGCAAGGCATTGACAGGCAGGGGCTGGGACGGATCCTGAGCAGCACCGGCTCATCAGCAGCAGCAGCTGGGGCTTCTGCAGCACCAGGGGCTCCGGGAGCATGTGATCAACGAGACAGAGCAAACCATCCACAACCAGCAAGGCAGGGGAGAAGGGTGTCATTTTTTCCTCTTTAAATTGAGCTATTAAATGCACAGCTACTGAATTAACCCCTGACGTTCCCCTGGAGAGGAAAGGGAATATTAACTGTTTGCTGCAGGGGTGCAGTTGCTACAGGCTTATCTGGCATTGCTTGCAGTCCTCTCCTTCCCATGGCTAATTAATTTGTGAATAACCTCCAGACCTCTCCTAATGATCTCTGACAAGCACTTGTCTTCCGCAAGGAAAAAAAAAACAACAATCAAACCCCAAACTTTGTCGTTTCTTCCAGGATGGGGAATGCACCCTTAACTTTTCTATAGTGATTTAAAGGGTGCTGGCACCTTTTCTTGTGGCAGAACAGCTGAAAGCACAGACAGCTGCTACAGAAGTGGGAAGAAATTACAGAACGGAGCCATGAGAACTGATTGCGGATAAGCAGAACTGAGGACAGAAACACTTCGCTATGGCTGTGCTTCCTCCCGGCTCTCTCCGGAGCCTCTCAGACCCAGCTCTGAAATGGTCTGCACAGGCAGGAGCCCGGGCAATGACAGATCAGGCAGCGATAGCATCGCTGCGTGGGCACAGTGCCCATGGCTCGGTCACACACCTCACCCGGCAGCCTTACTGTTGGGAAAATCACCCAATGAATCCGCTGTAGAGGCAGGCTGTGTTTGCAGGAATCCCACCGGAGGGACACGCAGCAGCCTCTAATGTTTTGGGGTCAGGCAGTCAGGAGTGGGGTTTTGTCCCTTGCAGCATGCCGTGTACTCCAGAGGAATGAGAGAAGGATTATCCCAAACTATTTATTTAATTTAAAGAGAGATTGGGGGATCATCTGAAGAAATGACACGTCTTGAGGGCAGAGGTACGTGTACCCACAAATTCTGTTTCTCCGAGCACTTCGCGTGCATCCCATGCCTTACATGTGTAGGATTTGCTTCCAGGGACTAATAACTACTTGGGAGTTTTTTGCATCCTCTTTGAATTTTCCAGTGTTATTTCTACTTCAATTAAATGGTGGTTTTCTCAGCCATGTCTGCAGTTGTACTTGATGTGAACATGCTACTGTTCATGAATAGGCTGCTTCTTCTACAGAAGTGATATCATATGCAAATATAATGCCTGCTATATGGTGCCCAAAACAGAGATCCCTCAGAACAAGCCAGGGAAAGCACAATCCTTGAAACATAGTCCTCTGTCCCAGCTCCGCTCCCATGGCAGCCTGTAGCTTTGTGGTTGCTGTCAATACAGCGCTCTCGGCATGTGAAAATCTGTGTTTGGTCCTGCCCTGAACTGCCCCTCTTCTTACAGCCCTAAATGATGAGAAGGTGAAACTCTGCTGAGATCCGCACATGTAATTTGCTTTAACCTAATATCTCCATTGTGCACATGCTTGATGACCACTTCAATCCCTCCTGCCTGTCCCGGCTTTCTGCAGCGAAGCTCCTGGACCTTCTCAGTAATACAGCTTGGAGATAGATTCAGCTGGGATTTCCCTCTGCAGCATGTTGTGTCCCCACCTCCCACATCCCACTGTGTCGTGCAAAAAGGCTGCACCCAGTTCTTGCAGATGTTAGCACCCATGAGGATCCTGGGAGGAACGTGTAGCTATGCACAATCCCTAGAAAAGAAACACAACCATCCTTCCAGTCTTTGCCAGAAGGCCCTCAGCACACAATTCCAGGGCAATCTCCTGCCAATCAGTCATGCTAGGGGCAGTCCACAAACATCCTAAGAAAGCTTCTAGGTGAACAGAGCAGGCACAAAAGGGTGAAGACAAGTGGCATTAGACAGAGGCGAAAGAGCCTTCAGCCTGATTGAAGCTGCAAAAGAAAACCCAGCTCCTTTTTGCCACTTTAAAAAAAACACCCAACTGACATGATTAGAAATGGGGTATTGATGGATTGATGTGTCTAATAAGCAACCAAAAATGGTTAGAGATGTTGCTGAATGTCTTTGCCCATTAGATCAGGCCAAAGTTGGTACTCAGGTTTGGAAAGTACAGTAGAAGATGATTTGGCTGTGCTTTTGCTGTGCAACAGCGGCAAATGCCACAAAAGGCTCAGAATTCAAACCTCCATCCTGGTTGCTCTCCCACATCTTTCTGCCCGATCTCTAGCTGGTTTTGGGGCTTGTGTGAGTGACTGCAGTGACATTTTAAAAGAGGCTTGTTCTTTTAATTCTAAAGCATGACTCATCCATGCAATTTAAAGAAGGCAGATATTTTTAAAAAAGCAAAATCTTGAAACTGTTTTTTCTTTCTACATGAAGATCATGGGATGACAAGAGATATTAGTCCATAAAGGACTTTTTCACTTTTTTTTTTTTCTTCTGTTCAGTTCCTTATCTGTCTGGCATTTCTTCCACAGCAAAAGCACGTCGTTTACGGAAGTGTACTTGCCCTTCAGTTTCCTCACACAAGCCCTGGAGTGGGCACACATGTTCCACATCACACCACTAATGCAAACACAGAGCACTGTCCTCGATATGATGTAGCAAGCCACATTTCTGGTCAACAGCAAACATAGTGCCAACAGAGGCAGTAACCATTCATGTGGGGCAGGAGCTCTGCTCCAGCAAACCCCATCATTGCTTCTCTCATGGCTTGTGCATGGAGAAAATAAACCTTTAGGTTAGTTTGAACAGGGAAAAAGCCCCTTACTGTCACTGCAAAGTGAACAGTTGAGCAATTTAGGATCAGCTACAAAAGGATGAAGCAGCAAGTAGCGCTCAGTGATGTCCCTTTGAGATCAGGAGGGTAACTAGCATTGTCATACATCATACATCCAGAGTGTATTCAAACTCTTGAAGGCAATTGAACCTACAACTTCTGGTCTTAGTTTCTAGTCTTAACCACAAGATCAACCTTGCAGAAGAAAATAAACAATCATTACAAAATATTTATTTGAATCACCACCACCCCCAACTCATCAGTGTCACTCCAAAAAAAAAAAAAAAAAGACAACAATCAACCTATTGGGAAAGTTTTCATCTTTCAATTTATTCTTTCTGTAAGTTTTAAAGTCAAGTTTTATCAGGCTCTGATTTTGGAGTTCCTGAAGTCCATGTACCCCATGTCTCCCTGTCTTGTCACTTTTTTGGACACCCACATTTCACTCACTCAGGACAAAGCAATATCAAATAAAATGGAGCCTGAAATAAAATCCTCATCTCCCCAGTGAAACCCTGAAAGTCAAAACTTGTTCCTCCCAGCTAGGATGGGAAAAAAACATCACTGCTGAAATAGAAAGCAAAGAAGGTAGAGCAAATAATCTCTCTGGCTGTGTGAAGTGCTCTTTGGATACATACTCTTCTCCTCTCTTCTGCCTAATGAAGAAAGCCTGTGCTGCTCCTTTGCAATAGCAGCAGCAAGGAGCTCTGCCTGACTCCATGTTTATTTTTTATGTCCTATTATTCTGCACGTGATTCATTGATGTGTTTTCCCTCTCCCAACTGACTATCTATAAGGTGAGTACCTCTCAGCCTCACTACTTTCAGAGCATTAGTGCGAGACTGAAGTATTGGATTATGTCTCCAAAACAATAAAGGAAATTATTTAATGGTTTCTCTTAACTGTAACAACTTCCAAGTAGAAACTCGATCTTCTCCTGCAATACAGACTGCACCTGGCATACTGCTAGCCCTTAAATCAGACAAGAAACTTGGCCTTGCAGAAGAAAAACCCTTCCAAGGACAGGTACAATGAATGTCACATCTACAGCTACACAGGGAAGCTCACTTTCTCTTCAGCTCCTGCTCTTGTTATCTTTTTATCTTTACCTACACACACACATATTTCCATTATTCTTCCATTTCTGTATGAGAACAGACACTGCCATTCTAATCTCCCTTCCAGCCATAGCTACAAGAATAGCAGTGAAACCAGCAGATGGAACTAAAAATAGCTCTGGCAGGTCCCTTCATTAGCCAGGATCACTCCATACTGAACAAATGCCTTTCACAAAAATAGCGTATTTCTAGCTTTTTTCATGTTAGAGTACCGCAATTTTGTCTAAAATCTTCCTGTGGGGCACCACCTTTAGCTGACACTGAACCTCATTACTGGCAAGGAAAGTATTTCCTGCTGCTAACGATATTAAAATATTGCTGGTGCCAAGCACGTCAAACAAGCTGGACACACTCTTCTTTAATGACAAAGGAAAGAGAGGCTGGATCTCCTTTCTCAACAGCGTTACACCAGGGTAACATCACTCATTTGAAATCTAGCAATGAATCTGAAAGGAAGACCATGAGCATTGCTATAGAGCTGATTGCCTTGTTATCACATTAAGCTATCCACAGGCAGTATGGAAATTTGTGAAACATACAAATACCTTATGTCACTGAATTTATATGTCACTTGCAATCTAATTTAATTACAAAGGTTATATTAATAATGTTATGGAAAAGTTTTACAGTATACCCTTTCTTTAGGGACTGACTTTGCTGCTGTATTCAATGAGAGTTAATAAACATTGATGGGTGCGTGTGTTTCCATCTATCTAAATACATACACATATACACAAACAAGCAGTGGCATAATTGGAAAGTTGTTTAAAAAATGAGGAGTATTCTGACATTTGTTCAATAAAGCCTAAGAAATGTTCCAAGTGGAGGAGAAGACTGGAGGTGACTAGGTGCGTCTGCGACGGACTGTGCCTATCTCTTTAGCCGTACTTCTAATTCAGTTTGATTTGTATCTGGCCCAGAGGGTTTCTCCTGC